CCCCTGGGCCAAAGAAGAAACCAGAAGGGAAACGCATCAAATTATACACTTTATTATGTGTGGTTACTACATACCTGTTATATCTCAACAAAGCTGTAAACAAAACCCAAAAGCATTTTGGGGAGAAATTTAGAAAGACCTAAATAAAAGGCAAGGGGTGGGGGGAAGGCAAGCAGAGGTATGGGAAGTCTCACGGAAGGTGGAGGTCAAGCCTTGCCCTGCAGGGGCCTGGGTCCCTGGTGACTCCTCGGACTCGGGGTTTGGCCCTAAAAGGCAATGCCTGCAAACAAGAAAACAGAGCACCCTCACAAAGCCTGAAATAAAGCTTGGAATCCTATCAATGCCTGATTGTATCAAGGAGTGGGCCCCACCCTATTTGACTGACAGAATAAAAATGAATTGTCTCTATGGGCGCCTGGGTGGCTCAGATGGTTAAGCGTCTGCCTTCGGCTCAGGTCATGATCCCAGCGTCCTGGGATCGAGTCCCGCAGTGGGCTCCCTGCTCCTTGGGAGCCTGCTTCTCCCTCTGCCTCTCTCTCTGTCTCTCATGAATAAATAAATAAAAATCTTTAAAAAAAAAAATGAATTGTCTCTGAATAGCAAAGACATCTCCCACAGCCTCAAGATTTTCCATCAGGGTGATCATCATTTATCCCAAAACGATCAGGTGTGCCAGGAAACAGGGTCCCACGAACCAAGAATAAACAGTCGACATGAACCCACAGGTCACCGGATAAGAGAATAACTGCAATGAACCTTAAAACGTGATTAATGTGTGCAAGAAAACAAATGGAAAAAAGGGAGAATTTCATCAGGGAATTGACGTCTAAAGAGAAAGTACCAGATGGATGTTTGAGAATTGAAATCATCAAGTCAACAACCAAATAGATGGTTTTAACAGATTACAGAGAGCAGAAGAGGGGATTTTGGGAGTGGAGACTGGGTGAGCAGAAAATACCCAGGGGGAAGGGCAGAGGGCAAACAAGGAGTAAAGATAGAGAGCGGAGTGCCCGAGGCGTGTAGGACACAGCTAACGGAGCCTGGGTGTAGCTTGGAGTCTGGGTATCGCTGCCGTCCCAGAAGCAGAGGGCTGACCCAGGACGGCGCAGAAGCAATATTTGAACGATAATGGCCAAGAATTAAAAAAAAAAAAAAAGATGAAAGACAAAAAACATAGATTCAAGGCACTCTGTGAATTTTAATTAGCATAAATACAAAGAAAATACATGTAGGAACATCCTCATAAAACTGCTGAAAATCAAAATTTGAAAGCATGCAGGAAAAATTAGTACATTATCCTCAGGGTGCAACAGAAAGAGACAACGCAGAATTTTTCAACAGAAATGATGGGAGCAGGAAGACAATGGAAGGATGTCTTGAAAATGCTGAATGGTAAGGACCACCAACCTTCAAATCCGTATGGGGGGCTGGCTACTGCGGCTGGCCCCCCTCCCCTGGCCCGTGGCCCAGCGGCTCCCTGGCGCTCCACCTGACCCCACACTGCGGGGACGCCCCCTGTGCCCCCTCACCGTCCCCCGCCTCAGGGCTGTGCATCCTGGGCCTGCGAGGTCTGCAGCCAGGCCCCAGAGGGTGGGCTCCCTTCCAGATGCCCCCCATTCCTCTCCCTGCTCCTAAGAGCTCCCCGCAGGAGGCCTCTCGGGGTCAGTGGGGCCCCTCTCTCTGGAGGCCCACTGCTCCCATTCCGGGGCTCCCGCTGATGGGGAGTCCCACTCCACACTGGGGACGGCGTCCTCTCTGCAGGTGCTCAGGACAGGTGCTTCCCGGGCTCCGCGGCTGCCCTCTTGCGCTCGTCCTGATGCTCTGTCCCCTTAGCTTAGCGTCTGTGTGTCCTTGCGTGGGTGAGTATTTCCCTCCTGCGCCCGCCCCAGTGTGTCCCGTCCACACTGGCCCTCCCCTCCCAGGAGCCTGCAGCGCCCGGCGTGGCTGAGTCAGAGTGACTGCAACCTGACGGGAGACCTGAGCCACAACCGCCCGCTAGGCTCTCCCGGATCCCTGGCCTGAGAAATGGTGCACGTGACAGATGTTTGTCGTTTTAAGCCATCAAGCTTTGTGGTAATTAGTCAGGCAGCAACCAGTAATTAATATACGGCCTCGAGGGTGTGCATAGTCTGCACTCCCAGATGCTCCCCTGGGGTCTTCGTGGGGAACGCCCACGTGCTGGGGGCCCACAAACCCAAGGCTCACCCTCAACAGCCTCAGTTTCCGAAGCAAGAGAGGTGTACAAAATCCCCTCTGGTTTCAACCACTGACGATGCAGCAGTGGGAGAGACTGTCTCAGGTAAGTGAATCTCAGCTACACTGAGGAGAAAGAGGGGACGCTTGTGGAAGGCTCTATGTGAGGTGATTTGTGTATGTTTTGCAAACACTCAGAACCACTGCTTATGAGGAGTAGAAAACCCGCTTGGGAAACTTAGCTACGCTCTCGCACTTGATTCCATCAGGCTCAGTCTTGTTTTGACTACCAGTGCTGAAGCTACTTGGAATTTATTTTTAGAGCAGTTGAGGTTGGGGCTCAATTTACCCTCTTCCTACTCTACATGGAAGAGAATGCAATAGCCCTGAAGGGCCTGTCTTTTCCTTAGTGGCTTGCGGCCCCTAAATTTTTGTGTGCAGTTGGGTTTGTTTGTGGACTGCTGGTTTTATTCCACTGTGTCCATTTGTTTGTCCCTGTGCAAATGTCACGTGGATTTAATGCCTGTCATTTGATATACTATTTTGATATACAAAAGGGCAATTTTCCTCTCCTTCCCTTTTTTTTTTATTTGAAAATTGTCTTGACTATGCCTGTGAATGGTCTCTTCCAGATGACTTTGGGAATCAGCTTTTCAAGTTATTTGAAAATCTGGTTGACATTTTGATTGGGATTAAACCAACTTTACAAACGGACTCAGGAGCGGCTTATGCGTTTGCCACTTGGCTTCCAAGCGGGAAAGGGGCGTTTTCTGTGGGAGTTTGAGCTGCGGCCGAGTCCTACAGCAGAACTTCAGAGTGTTTAAAAACTGGTCCTGGGGCGCCTGGGTGGCTCAGTTGTTGAGCGTCTTTCTTCGGCTCAGGTCATGGTCCCAGGGTCCTGGGATCGAGCCCCACATCAGGCTCCCTGCTCAGCGGGAAGCCTGCTTCTCCCTCTCCCACTCCCCTGCTTGTGTTCCCTCTCTCGCTGTGTCTCTCTCTGTCAAATAAATAAATAGATAAATAAAAATCTTAAAAACACACACACACAAAAATTGTGGTCCTAGGGCACCTGGGTGGCTCAGTCGTTAAGCATCTGCCTTCGGCTCAGGTCATGATCCCGGGGTCCTGGGATCGAGCCCCGCATCGGGCTCTCTGCTTGGCAGGAGGCCTGCTTCTCCCTCTCCCACTCCCCCTGCTTGTGTTCCCTCTCTCGCTGTGTCTCTCTCTGTCAAATAAATAACTAAAAATCTTAAAAAAACACACACACACAAAAACTGTGGTCCTGGGGCGCCTGGGTGGCTCAGTCGTTGAGCGTCTGCCTTCGGCTCAGGTCACGGTCCCAGGGTCCTGGGATCAAGCCCCGCATCGGGCTCCCTGCTCCCCGGGAAACCTGCTTCTCCCTCTCCCACTCCCCCTGCTTGTGTTCCCTCTCTCGCTGTGTCTCTCGCTGTCAAATAAATAAAATCTTTTTAAAAAATTAAAAAAAAAATAAAAACTGTGGCCCTATTCTCAGGGACGCATGGGTGTTGACGGGTGTTGCGGTGACTGCGAATGGCACCTGCAGATATTGGCGGGCGTGCGCGGGTGGGCGGCGCGGAAACGTCACTGTCAAAGGTAACATAGTTGCACGCGTAAGTGTCAGGAAGTGGGGACTTCTGCGGGGACTCGACAGGGGCCGGGGGGCGCAGGCGGCCGGGCCCCATCGGGCGGAAGCCGGGGAGCGGGGGCGAACCGCGAGGCGGGCCTGCGAGCTCCAGGGAAGGGGCGGGCGCCCGGGCGGGGGCCTCGGCTCCCCACCAGCGCGGCGGGGCCCGCCCCGGCCCCGCCCCCGGCCCCGCCCCTCGTCCCGTCTCCGGCGGCGCGCCCCACCCAGAGCCCCGCCCAGCGCCCCGGCCCCGCCCCCGCCCCTCGTCCCGTCTCCGGCGGCGCTCCCCACCCAGAGCCCCGCCCAGCGCCCCGGCCCCGCCCACGGCCCCTCGTCCCGTCTCCGGCGGCCCTCCCAACCCAAAGCCCCGCCCAGCGCCCCGCCCCCGCCCACGGCCCCTCGTCCCGTCTCCGGCGGCGCGCCCCACCTAAGCCCCGCCCCCGCCGTGGCCCCCCCGCTCTCCCCACCCAAAGCCCCGCCCAGCGCCCCGCCCCCGCCCCCGGCCCCTCGTCCCGTCTCCGGCGGCGCGCCCCACCCAGAGCCCCGCCCAGCGCCCCGGCCCCGCCCACGGCCCCTCGTCCCGTCTCCGGCGGCGCTCCCCACCCAGAGCCCCGCCCAGCGCCCCGGCCCCGCCCACGGCCCCTCGTCCCGTCTCCGGCGGCGCTCCCCACCCAGAGCCCCGCCCACCGCCCCGGCCCCGCCCACGGCCCCTCGTCCCGTCTCCGGCGGCGCGCCCACCTAAGCCCCGCCCCCCGCCGTGGCCCCGCCCCCGCCGTGCCCCCCCCCGCGCTCCCCACCCAAAGCCCCGCCCAGCGCCCCGCCCCCGCCCACGGCCCCTCGTCCCGTCTCCGGCGGCGCGCCCCACCCAGAGCCCCGCCCCCGCCGTGGCCCCGCCCCGCGCTCCCCCCCGAGCCCCGCCCGCCGCCGACGCCTGCGCGCGGCGGGCGAGGCCTACCGGTTGGCGGTCCTGAGGTGCGGGGAGGCGTCCGCGCGCGGGGGCTGCGGGTTCGAGTCCTCGCGGCCGCGCCGCGGCCCCTGTGGCCGTCCCCGACGCGCGGGCGCCGCCGTTGAGGGCGGCGCGGCCGCGGCGTGCGCGGCGAATCTGCCGCTGCGAATCGGCGGGCCGGCGGCGGGCCCGGCGGCGGCGGCGGCGGCGGCGGCGGCGGCGGCCTCGCGAGAGTCGGGCGGGCGGGCCGGGCCGGCGGGCGGAGGAGCGCGCGCGGGCGCCGCCGGCATGACGGGCCGCGTGTGCCGCGGCTGCGGCGGCACGGACATCGAGCTGGACGCGGCGCGCGGCGACGCCGTGTGCACCGGCTGCGGCTCGGTGCTCGAGGACAACATCATCGTGTCCGAGGTGCAGTTCGTGGAGAACAGCGGCGGCGGCTCGTCGGCCGTGGGCCAGTTCGTGTCGCTGGACGGTGGGTCGCGCGCGGCCGGGGCGCTGGTCGCGGGGCCGCGGGGCCGCGGGGCGGGCGGGCGGGCGGGGAGGTCGGCGCGAGCTGGCGCGGCGCGGGACCGTGGCGCACCGCTGGGGCCCGGCCGGGTCGCGCCCCCCGGGCACGGAGGCACAGGGCCGGAGGGCGCCGCGCGGGGGTCGCCCTGCGGCGGGCGGGGACCCGGCTGCAAGCCGCGCGCGCCGGCGGCTGCCGGTTGCCGCGCGAGGCAGTTCGGGGCCGCGCTTACCTGTTCGCTGCGGGAGGCCTTGAGGCAGATCGGGGCGCTTCCTGTCGGGGCGTCGCGCTGTTTGCGAGTGGGGTCGGCTTCGCTTCTTCCCTTCGCTCCTCTCGCCTCGCCCGCCCGGACGTGCTCGCCTGGCTCCCGGTCTTGGAAGCACGGGCTTCCCCCTGAGCGTGCTCGGTAGCCGCAGGCTTTGGGTCCAGAGAGTCGAGGACGTTCCCCTTCTGCTGCCGGTCTGTTGAGTTGGCTTTTTTAAGGTTTTATTTATTTATTTGAGAGACTGAATGAGAGAGAGAGAGAGCACGAGAGGGAGGAGGGTCAGAGGGAGAAGCAGACCCCCCGCCGAGCAGGGAGCCCGACGCGGGACTCGATCCCGGGACTCCAGGACCATGACCTGAGCCGAAGGCAGTCGCCTGACCGACTGAGCCACCCAGTCACCCGGGAGGCAGTTACTTTTCTTTTCTTTCTTTCTTTCTTTTTTTTTTTTTTTAAGATTTATTTATTTATTTATTTGAGAGAGCGAGAATGAGAGAGAGAGAGCGAGCACATGAGAGGGGGGAGGATCAGAGGGAGAAGCAGACTCCGCCGAGCAGGGAGCCCGACGCGGGACTCGATCCCGGGACTCCAGGACCATGACCTGAGCCGAAGGCAGTCGCCTGACCGACTGAGCCACCCAGGCGTCCTAGTTTGTTGAGTTTTTATCGTGAGTGGCCGTTGGATTTTGTGAAAGGCTTTTTCTCCTCAACTGACACGGTCGTGGTTTTCTTCTTTCGTCTGTGTGGCTCATTTTCAAATGTTGAGCCTGCCTTTCCTTCTGGGGTGGACCCACTTGATGGTGGACTATCACTCTTGTATGTGTGGCTGGGTTAAATGTGCTAACATTTGGTTGAGGATGCTTCTGCGGAGTGCGGGTGTGTCTTTGCTTTGATAGGGACGTGCTGCATCTCACGGAAGGACTCGGGAAATGCTCCCTTCCCTTATCTACTCATTTATTTTTTGGGAAGAGGCTGTGGAGGATTGGTGTTATTTCTTCCTTGAATCTTTGGTGGAATTCACCAGTGTAGCCATCTGGGCCTAGAGGGTTTTTTTCCCAGAACGTTTTTAACTAGATTCAGTATCTTTAATAGTTGTAGGCTATTGTGATATTTTAGGTTACCCTTTTCCCCGTGGGTGAAGTTGTGGTTTTGAGGATTTGGTCCATTTGATCTAAGTTACCCTTTTGATGTCTGCAAGGTCTCTAGTGATGCCCTGTTTTCCCGTCACACTCTTCCTTTCACGTCTTCGCTCTTCTTCTCTCTGTCTCTCTTGCTGGAAGTTTATCACTTTAGTTGATCTTAGCAAAGATCCGGCCTTGGGTCTGGTTGGCCTCTCTCTCCCCATCATCTCTGATGCAGGGCACACGTCTTCGTGCTCTTCTGGGGCGACTTCTTGGGCTGCCGGGTGGAGGCTCCACAGTGCTGTGTTGTGGGTTTGTCAATGTGGCCAAACTGTCCCTTGAGTCACTGGAAAGAGAGTAAGGACAACAGGAAGAACAGATGGTTGTAGGAGCCGATGCTTAGGGTTTCCCGTGGAAAGGCGCTGTGCTGAGCGCACCCCTCACCTGATGACCGCCTGCCCCCACTGCAGTTGGGGAAGCAGGTTGCAGAGGAGAGGGACACCCCGAGAGTCCTGGACGTGAGCGATGTGCTCCCACCTGTGTGCAGTGAAGTCGGTCACAGAGCCAGGTGCGGTGGGAAGGCGTGATTTCACGGGTGTGAAGACCTTTCCCCAGCCCAGCCTGGCTCTGTCCTCTGGGCTTGTTCTCTGGAGGGCCTGCGGGGAAGTGCTGCAGACGTGCGGTGGGTTCTTAGCCCCCAGCCTGGGGGCGCCTCTGTCGGCCTCCTGCTCCCTCCCCTGCGTCAGGGCAGTGCTCACACGGGCTGTTGACTTGGGTTACTCCAGCGCCCCCGGCAGAGGTGCATGCCAGCTGGCTCTTCTCGGGTCCTCCTTCACTCCAGCCTCGCCCTGAAAGCTGAGCTTGCTCCCTCAGCTGCCCTCATCTGGGGCCCACGGTCACCATCTTTCCAAAGCACTCTTTCTTGTTCCTTGAGAACTGCATATGGACAGTTAGCTTAGGGGTGTACTTGCGACTCTGTAAATGAGATGCCGGGGCCGTGTGGCCAGAGGCCCTGCCTGTGTGGGCTCCTGACCGTCCAGGGGTCTTCCCTGGTGAGCACCCATTGTGCGCCAGGCCTGGCCTTTAGGGCCAAGGAGCTCTGGTCCCCGATTCCCTGGAAGATGTTCCGGACCAGCAAAGTGTGAGGCTGGCATCCAGTGGTGGTGGCGTGAGTGGTCCTGGGGACATCCGGGCCGTGGAAGGCCATGGAAGGCAGCCAGCCGAGAGGAGGGATGGGTGTGTGATTTCGGCACGCAGCTTGGTGTGGCCAGAATGGCAAGTCAGTGGGCAAAGCTGGACTGGCTGGGGCCCTAGTGGGCCCTGAGGAAGGATCCTGCCACTCCCCTAGGGAGGGGCTCACCCAAGTGTGGTGGGGACTGGAGAGCAGGGTTTCCCAGCAGGGTACGTGTGAGTGTCTTGTGCCATGTGTCCACCCTGAGGGCCTCAGAGCCGGCAGCTCTTCCCCTGGGCGTCCCCTCTGCCGTTGATGGTGCCCACCCCCCTGTGGGCCTCCCCCTGGAGTTGTCAGCACAGCTCCCATGACACGCAGCCTGGAGGCAGAGGGAGCTCCGGCACCAGGCAGCCTGTGGTTCCTGCTCCCCTGGGGTCCTCCCCCCTCTCTGCCGGGGAGCACTTGCCATGGTTTCCATAATCACGGCTTGTCATGGCTGCAGATTGGTCTTTTAAGTGAAGACGTCTGTGAGCACTGTCGTCACAGGTAGGAGTGGTGAAGTACTTGCCGCACGTTTGTGTGGGATGAGCTCTCCCCAGCCATAAAACAGTGAGAAAGGTTTGCGGCCCCCAGCCCCGGACGGGACGGGGAGGGCCCCCAGGACGGGGAGCCGCTCTTGCTTGCTAAAGAATGGTGGGACCTGCACCACCTGCCTAGCCTGTGCCCTGCCCTTGGGGGCTCTCCCAGGCACAGCCCCCTGTGTCTTAGGCCTCTGAGCACAGGATGGTGTCCTGGCCGAGCTCTGGTCCCAGAGGTGGAAGATTCTGCAGCTCTGCTGCTGTCCTGTGGCCCCTCAAAGCCCCAGTGAGTTCCTGGCCAGAGTGCCTGTTCTCAGGAAATGTGGGCTGGACTCTGTGCCAGGGGCACAGGGTGAGACAGGGCTGCTCTTTCTAAGGTGTCATTTGCAGCTTTTTTCATCTACCACGCCCCGTGCTGCATGGTTTCCGAAATCAGAATTGTAATCCCCACGAAAGAGGCTCTTTGGGAGCTGCGCCGGGTGGAAAGGAGTCTCCGGTGCTGCCCCGCTTAGCTCCCTGTGTCACGACAGATCCGTGTTCCACAGCACTCACCGTGGCCTGGTCCGGGGTCTCTCGGGAGCCCCAGAGGGGCTTGTGTCCATGTGGGGGCTCCGGCTGCAAGACCTCTCTGGAGAAGGGCCTGCACGGCAGCGACAGAGACCCTCCCTTTAAGTCAGATTCGTAGGACTTCTTTTTTTTTTTTTTTAAGATTTTTATTTATTTATTTGAGAGAGAATGAGAGAGAGCACGAGAGGGAAGAGGGTCAGAGGGAGAAGCAGACCCCCTGCCGAGCAGGGAGCCCGATGTGGAACTCGATCCCGGGACTCCAGGATCATGACCTGAGCCGAAGGCAGTCGCCCAACCGACTGAGCCACCCAGGCGCCCGATTCGTAGGACTTCTTGAAGGTCGTGCTTGCCCATGTTGGGGGAGCTTGTGGGTGAAACGGGAACAGATGTGTGCAGGGCCTTCCTGGGGTGCCAAGGCCCCTCAGCCGGCCTCCTTCTCCCTGGTGCTGAGGTGTTGGTGTTGCTGGCTTTGGTCCCCGTGCTCACAGTGGCCAGGCTTGCGGCGGCCCCTCGGGGTCCAGGGTCAGCCGTCCGGGGTCTGCTGCCGGCCACGAGGGGGCGCTCTTGGCCTGGTCGTAGTTCACCCTTAGTCCAGCTTGTTGTGGGTTTTTGTTGCAGGAGCTCGTCACAGGAAGTTTCTAATGTTTTTAGAAGTTGAGGGGATAGTGTGAAGGGGGTCTGAAGGCCAAGAATGTCCTCCGTTGGCAGTGGTCATTCAGCTTTCCTTCATGCTTCAGGAGACGTTGGCCTCCTGGTCTTACGGGGCCCTTTTTAGGCTCTCCACGTGTGCATTCCAGATTTTTTTTTTTTTTTAAGATTTTATTTATCTATTTTTTAGAGAGCGAGCGAGAGAGAAACAGCATGAGAGGGGAGAGGGTCAGAGGGAGAAGCAGGCTCCCCGCTGAGCAGGGAGCCAGATGCGAGACTCGATCCCAGGACCCTGGGATCATGACCCGAGCCGAAGGCAGACGCTTAACCATCTGAGCCACCCAGGCGCCCCTGCATTCCAGATTTTATCTCTTGTAACCAAACCCCGGTGGGTGGTGTTTGCTGAGTAACAGAATCTGCCTCAGTTTGGCAAAAGCCGGCTTGGACCCCAGCCCCTTGCTGCAGAGAAGTGAGTCTACGAGGGGACAGGGTCCCAGTGTCTCCTGGGGGCCCCTGATGCCCTGAGGCCATGCACAGGGAGCTCAGAGAGCACGGGGCAGGTGTGTGCACGCGAGCGTGTGCACGTGTGAACGGGGGTCAGGAGATCGTCCCCAGGAAGGGTGGCTGGGTCCACCTCAGGGAGAGGCAGGGGAGGACAGCACAGGAACAGGAAGTAGAAGTCTTGGAAGTTCAGCGAGGGGGGTGGGGGTCCTGGGGGGGCGACCTCTGGCAGCTTTGCGAGATTTCGAGGAATAAGGAGATTGCATTTAATACTCAACCAGAACGAAGTTCCATTCTTCTTCATTTTCTTCTTTAAATATTTTATTTGAGGGCAAGAGAGCACAAGCAGGGGGAGGGACAGAGGCAGAGGGAGAAGCAGGCTTCCCGCTGAGCAGGGAGCCAACGCAGGGCTCGATCCCAGGACCCCGGGATCGTGACCTGAGCCGAAGGCAGACGCTTAACTGACTGAGCCACCCAGGCGCCCCCATTATCCTTTTTCTAATGCAGTAGTCCAATTATTTATTAAAAGTACGCATCCATTTTAATTAAGACAACATGGCAGCTTTTCTCTTTTCCTAAATTAAAAGTCGGGGGCTGCTGGCTAAGCCTAAACATGCTAAGATGTGGCTCTCAGGGTCAGGTGCTAAGAGTGAGTGGGCCTTCCTCAGTGGTTCTTGTATGAAAAGATTGCAAATGTAAAGATCCTCAAGTTGTAAAAAGCCACCGCCACCCAAACTGGAGGGTCGGAGATGCAAAGCCCTGATCTCAGCCCCGCGAGCCTGTGCTGGGCTCTACGGAGCTGCCAGGTGGCACGCTGGTGATTTTGGAAGCCCCTTGGTGCCCGTCCAGGTGGATGAATCTCCTCTGGGCCCTGCAGCTCTCCAGCCCCAGTATGCCCTGCCTGGCCCTCTCCAGCCCCTTGAGGATGCGCTGCTGGCCCCGCTCCCTCCCCATGCTCTGTGACCAGCTTTCAAGGACATGAAGTCTGCGGCGGTGGCTGGTTGGGGCAGCAGAAGAAACCAGCCCTCCCGGTGACAGCAAATCCGTCCCCGGCTGGTGAGTGACGCCTGTCCTGGGCACCGTGCTCTACCGGAGGAGGCCACCGGGCTGGTCCTGAGGCCACGGTAACCACGGTAACCACGGAGGAGGCAGCAGAGGATGCTGCCCGGCTGGGGCCTCGGCCCTCCCAGGCCCCTCTGCTCCGCCGCCATGGTGCGAGGTCTGGGTGCTGGGCCCCCCGGGCAGCTGGCTCCCGGCTCTGCGCCCGGCCCTGCTCCCGGCCAGCCCACCGCAGCCCGTGGCCCAGCGGCTGCCCAGTGGCTGTCCACCAGTTGCTCTTTTCCACGTTCTCTTGGCTTATCTTACTTCCTTTCGTTGCCGGCTAAACTTGGGAACCATTTTGCTGAGATGTTTAAGGAATCTCGTGAGTGTTGGTTTGGGGTTTGCGGGAGGTCGTGCTTGTTCTGCGCTGTCTGTGCTGCCGGCCGCCCATGGGTGACACTGAGGTGCCCGCTGGCCCCGGATGTGGGCCATGTGCTTTCCCTGGGGGCCTGTTCCCAGGCGTGGTCTGGGTTCCTATTTCATTGTCGCACGGGTCCCGGTCCATCCTGCAGGCCTGACGTCCTGTGGCTGAGGCTGTGGGGGTGCCCCCGACTGCACAAGCCTCTAATCCTTCGGTGCCCTTGCTCACAAACACACTGGCCCGTGGGATGGGCGGCACTTCCCAGCTCCGCTGCCTTTTCTGGGCCACCCGAGCATTCTTTGGCTTCGGTGGTGGGGCTTATAAGCCCGGCAAGCAATCCAGACGTCCACCAGGCTGTTTTCGAAGGGTAGCAGGGCAGAAGTCTCAGTCCCAGTGCCTCGCAGAGCAGAGTGCATGGCACTTCCTGGGGCATCTCAGCACTGGTGGGAGATCCCAGGCAGAGCGCCTGCAGGTCTGGCTGTGGCCTCCCTTGGGGACGGGGCTCCCTAGGCTGCTGTTCTGTGGGTGGGCAGCACACAGGTGGCTGGAGGTGTGAGTGCGTCCTGTAGGCCAGCTGGCTCACAGGCTCTGGGCCGCAGGACAGGTGCTGTTGACCAGCGGCCACCGTGCAGGTGTAACTCCTGTGCCTGGGCTAGGCCCGGGCACGCAGAGGGCCCCTGGGGATGCTGCAGTTTGCAGGTGAACTGTGCTCTCTCTGGCGGCCACGCGGCAGTGTGAACTGTGGACGCGGTTAGAGAGGCCTCACGTGCACTGGCCAGAGGGAGGGGAGGTTTGCCGGTTGCTAAGAATGGCAGGGGGAGGCCCCAGTTCTCCAGCCATGAACGCGATCCCACTGTATCCGTGCTTCAGATACACCCCAGGCGCTGAAGGTCTGCTGGTATGGCTCTTTCCTGCCGAGTTTTGACTAATCAGTCTGATTTGTTTTTCTAGGTGCCGGCAAAACCCCAACCCTGGGCGGCGGCTTCCATGTGAACCTGGGAAAGGAGTCAAGAGCACAGACCCTGCAGAACGGTATTCCCCATGGCGGGGGCTCTGGATGAGGGCAACTTTTGGGGGTGAAGGGCAGGAGTGGGCGGCCTGCAGCGACCCCTGGCCAGCGCTTTCCGAACCGTGTTGAACAGGAGTGTCTTACTCCTGACTTCTGGGGAAAGCGTCCAGTCTCGCACCATTAAGGGGGACGTTGGCTGTGATCAGCTCAGGCAGGAACATGTTCTGCCAGCCCCTCTCAGACGTTTGCATGAGGCCACTCTCAGGAATGTCAGGCCGTGGAAGAGTCCTCCCAATGCGCTGCATTCCCTGGCTCTGTGGTCTTTATGGTGGACCTCGGAGATGCTGCGGGTTCCGTCCAGACCACTGCAGTAAAGTGAGTCACATGGACTGTTTGGTTTCCCAGAGCATTCCAAAGTTATGTTTACACCACCCTGTAGTCTCTTACATGTGCAACAGCATCGTGTCTAAAAAGTCAGTGTTCAGAGCTTAATGAAAAAAGCCGCATTGCTAACCGCGCTCACGGTCGTCCGAGCTCTCGGCCAGGCACGGCCTGTCTGCAGGAGGAGGGTCTGGCCCCCACGGTGCCAGCCGCTGACTGGGCAGGGGGTGGGGGCTGGAGGCTGGGGTGCCCGCGGCAATTTCTTAACACAAGACAAGGATGTTTGCCGCACCGATGGGCTCCTCCTTTCACGAACGGTTTCTCTGTGGCAGGCGATGCTGTGCGCCAGCATTGTACCCACAGGAGAACTTCTTCCCAAGTGGGAGTCGGTCCTCAAACCTGCTGCTGCGAGATGGAGGCAGTTCTTGGGAGAGTCCGGTCCTTCGCTGTCCCGGCAGCCATCTCCACGGCGTCTCCAGCAGGAGCAGTTTCCATCTCGAGAATGCACGTTCTTTGCTCACCCAGAAGAGGCCTCTCCTCCTCCTTTCGGGTTTTATCGTGAGATTGCAGCAGTCAGTCCCATCTTCTGGCCCCGCTTCTGATCCCGGGCCTCTCGCTGTGCCCAGCACATGGGCGGTGACGTCCCCCACTCAAGACTTGAACCCCTCAGCGTCACCCGCGGGGGCTGGAATCCACTTCCTCCAGACCCCTGCGGACGGTCTGAGCTCTTCCCATGAGTGCGAATGTTCTTAATGGCGTCTAGAAGGGTGAATCCCTTTCAGGACGTTTCCGTTTACTTTGCCCAGGCCCATCGGAGGAGTCACTCTGTGTGGTAGTCACAGCCTTACGATGTGCGTTTCTTGAGGGTAAGACTTAAAACTCGAACTGACCCTGGGCCCCTGGGCTGTGGGCGGCTGGTGAGGTAGCAGGTGTGCGCACTGCACTAATCTCGTGGTACGTGTGGGTCAGAGCTCTTGGGCGCCAGGTGCAGCGCCCCCGAGCAGTAAGGTTCGGAAGGAAACCTTTTTTTCTGAGCAGCAGGTCTCAACCCTGGGCTGAAAATACTCAGGAGACCATGTTGTCATCAGACGTGCTGTCGTCGAGGCTTCGTCCTTCCGTTTATGGAGCAGGGGCAGAGCAGATTTAGCGGGATTTTGAGGGCCCCGCATTCTCGGGCCGGTAAATGAGCGTTGGCTCCCGCTTAGTCGCCAGCTGCTCGCCGCTACCGGGAGGCTCGGCCTGGCCTCCGGAGCTTTGCAGACGCCCTGAGCTCGCCTCTCGAGCTGCGGGCGCCCTAGACGGCACCTCCTTCGGGTGGGAGGCCGGTGCGGCCGCGCTGCAGGCCGGCTGCTGAGTGCAGCCGCCTTCCCCGGCGAGCCTCGCGCGGCCTCGGAGAACGCGCTCAGCTTCTCCCCCGCTCAGCTTCTCCCCCGCTCAGCTTCTCCCGCGGCGCGGCTGCTTCACCTCGCACGCGCACCTTATGGAGCCGGCTTCTTTCCTCCGCCGCCGGCTCCGGACTTCCCTTGCGCAGGCTCCCGCCCTCTCGGCCTCCCCGGGACTGCAGAGCCGGGGCCTGGCTCTGGACCAGGCTTGGGCTGCAGGGAACACGGTGGTGGCCGGTTGGACCTTCCATCCCGACCACGCCGACTTTCTCCGGGTCCGCGCGAGGGCTGCTCCGCTGTCTCACCGTTCGTGCGCTCACTGGGGTGGCACTTCCCATTTCCTTCAAGAACGAGGCCTTTGCATCCACAGCTTGGCTCCCTGGCTGGCGCAAGAGGCCAAGGTTTCGGCCTCTCCCGCCTTCCACGCGCCTTCCTCTCTCCGCTGACTCATTTCTAGCTTTGATTTAAGGTGAGAGCCAGGCGGCTCTTCCTTTCACTCGAGCCCTTAGAGACCACTGTAGGGTTATTAGCTGGCCTAATTCCAATATTGCTGTGTCTCAGGGACAAGGGAGGCTCGAGGAGGGGGGGGGGGGAGAGGAGGGAAGGCCTGGGGGGGGGTGGAGGGCAGTCAGGACACACAGGACATTGATTAAGTTCACGGTCTTCTGTGGGCATGGTTCGCGGCGGCCAGAAGCAGTTACAACAGGACCATCAGAGATCACTGGTCGCAGATCACTGTAACGGATAAAACAATAAGAAAAATTTGAAATATCGAGAATTACCAAAATGTGACAGAGACACGAAGTGAGCAAGTGCGGTTGGAAAGTGGCGCCCCCAGACTTGCTGGAGGACGCAGGGGGTGCTGGGAGGCTTCCGTCTGTGAGAAGCATAGTGTCTGCGCAGAGCAAACAAGGTGCACCTGTTCCCACCTGCCAGGAAGGCGCCCGGGCGGACTGTCGCCCTCGGGGACCCTCCGTCCACGGCCTTGGGCTTGTGGTTAGCACATCAGACTGTGCGTTTCCGTTGTGCTTCTTCCTTTGACCCGTGGGTTACGAATAGTGTGGTTCGTTCTCATTACAGATCATACCGTGTGCAGCAGGACCTCCGTCCTTTGAAACGGTGGAGGCTTGCCTTATGGTCCAGCACATGGTCACGTCTGGGCCACCGGGCCCTTGAAAGGAGCATTTTTCTGCACACGGTCTGTACGTGTCACTCAGGTCAGGTTTCCTCGTGATGCTCGCTGAGTTGGTTCTGCTCGTTCTTTCTCTGGAGGGCACGTGAAAACCCCCAGGGTGACTATGCGTCCTCCCCGTAGTTTGGTCAGGCTTTTGTTTGACCAGTTTGAAGACCGTGTTCTTGGTGCGTGCACACGCGGACTTGTTCCTGGCAGGCAGCCGACCCTCTGTTGGAGGAGCGCTCTGCCCTTGACCCCCTCGGTGCCGGCCCAGCCCCACCAACTAACTTCCTTCCAACTGCTGTGGCCACACTGTGCTCTTTCTTTGTGTCTGACCCGAAGATCTTCTGCACGTGAAGAACCGTTTCCCGGTGGAGAACTTGCATTTCTAAAAACCGGCAGGCTGTGTTTACTAGGGTAGTGCACACGTGTGGCAGTAAAACTGCAGGCTGATAATGAGGACAGAGCAGTCCGTCCTGTTAGAAATAGTGACCTCTTGGTTCAGTGAAGGGGAACTCGCCGCATCCCCCCAGTGGGGCGTCAGTGAGGGCTGAGGCCGACGTATTGGGGAAGCGCTAGGCGGCCCTAGGAGCCTGCAGTCCTGAGAGGACCCTCGCCTGTTGTCCCCTGCAGACCGTTCTGCAGGGCTCCTGCCCGGGGACGGCGGCCTGGGGCCTGCAGGAGGGCCGGCTGCCCCTCCGCCCAGCTGGGCAGGCGTCCCCTCCTGCCACTGTCAGCATCCGGTCTTTGCCCAGGTCGGGGCTGTGGGGCAGAAGGAGGCCGGCGGGTCCGGTCCCTGGCTCTCTTGGCTTTGACCAGAGCCGTCCGCATGGCGCTTGGGGCCCAGCGTGGTCCTCGCTTGGCAGTGAGCCCGCACTGTGTTGACCTCTTGTCCTCAGAGATCTTCCTATCCTCTGTGCTGGCAAGTTTCTGCCGATTTTACCTCCTTCCTGCCATTTTCTGTAGCTCTTGGGGCAGATTCCAGCAGGTCTTGCGCACGTCGTCTGAGGTGTAGTCGGCACATCTCTGATGTGTGGTGCGCTGACCGCCCTGGAGATGTGCGTCTGTGGGCGTCTCCACTGGGCAGAGTCCCGCCCGCTGCCCCACCTGCCGGGTTTGGGTGCAGTCCGGGAGCAGAGCTTCCCTCGTTGCGGGTGTGTTATGGGCTGCTTGCCGTTCTCAGGAAACGGGAAGGCCGGGAGGTGAGCAGACTGACGGCTTCTATGGTCGTGGTCGAGACTCACGCTCGCGCGGGGTTTGCCGTCTCCCGGCCTCCCTCCTGAATGGCGCTGGCGCCCACACCTTTCCTGGGTCCGTCTCTGGTTCTGTTGGGAGTGCACTCCGGCTGTGGTTCATGGGCAGGTCGGCGAGGCAGACCCCACGGGCCCCTTGTCCGCGCTCTGGGTGCGTGTGGAGGGGCCCCGCGGGCACCCCACAGAAGACAGGAGCTGGCGATCCGGGGCCACCAGCAGGGAAGGTGACTGCTGGGCTGAGTGTTGACCTCTCTCATCATCTTTCCTAACTGGGTCCTTTTGGGGTTTTCCCTCTGTCTTGGAGTTGGGACGCGCCACTGGGCTGAAGCTTTCTGCATTGGCTTGATGAGCCCTTTTATTGGGGAGACATTTCTGTACTATTCTTTCTGTGTGTCTGTTTCTCTTGGTAACACCTACATAGAGGAAGGTGCATAAAATGCGCTGACCTTAAGTGAACTGCTTGGTAAACGTGCACGAATGACGTGTGCCTCGCAGATCAGGGAGCTTCTTGAGCCCAGGAAGCCGCTCGGCACTGGGATCGTGCCGTGTGGGGACTTGGTCGTGTGGATGCACCGCTTGGTCTGTCTGTCTGGGGGTGTCTGGGGCTTCCCTTCCGGCCACGCCCGTGCACCACGTCCTTCGTCCTTCGGTGGTGGCTGCCGGTGGGCATGTGCCCGAGGCGGCGCCCGGGGCGGCGGGGGTGCGCTCGTCTGAGTGTGGTTGTGCCGCTCGCCCGCCCTCCAGTGGCCGCCGGGGTGCAGGGGCCACGGCGGTCCTCGGCGTCTGTCGGCCCCGCACCCACGGCGGTTTCGCTTGCTTTGCAGCGAGTGACG